TTATTTATCCATATATAATCTGTAATTTATATATGTTCCAAATTTATAACACTGAATACAGATGAATTAAAATCCAGAAAAATGAAATCACTTCACTGCAAAATAAACCCAATTTGGCTAATTACCATGCAATAAGTAACGAAATCGTAGCATAACAATAAATCTGTAAATCTACAAGTTAGGGTTATGTTAGGAGAATATTAAAATTTGTAAATGAGCTAATTTATATGCAGTAAGACAGACAGTTTCAGCGTTACCTTGCATCTGTAACATCTACAAGTAAGTGCTCTGTTGGAGGTCTATCATCATCATCAATTTCTTCTTCTTGTGAGTCCTCTTCTAAGACTTGATCTCGTACATCTTTCACTGGTATCCTAGGTAACTGAGAATGCAATGGTGATGCCAAAGTAGTGCGGTCAGGACTTTCAGACGCTGACCAGTGTCGCCTTTCCCTCTCTTCTTCAGACTGCCATTCCAACTGACCACTGCCATGTAATTCAACTTTCCTGTCATGGAGCTACAAAGAGAAGAAAATTAACATACGAGATGTAAGTTGAATGTCTGATTGGGTAACATATCACATGCCTTTCCATCACATCCTTTTAATTTATTGCTGTATATTTGGGCAATTGGGATCATTGCCCATTTAAGTTAGATGTCTTTTTAAATGATGACACAATCTAGAGTTGTATGTGAATTTACAAAACAAAAATATCACTGTATCGGTATGTGCTAATAGACCACTTTCCATTCATGCGAGATCCTGAGTTATACATGAAATTAAACGTTAAAACAGTGGCTTCAAAACCTTGCACGAGATTTGACAAATGTATTTTTTAGGTTTTTCCTTGCCTAATATTGTGCTACACACATTTGACTATGGTCAAATTTTCAAAGATACCACTTTCAAATGACTATACCAGCTGCCCAGTTAACCCCCCAATCATTGAAAGTAGTGATTGTTACATACAAGATAATAAAATTAAATCACTAATCTGTAAGAGCTCTATCATAAATAGTATCCTTTTTAATTTCTTCATATTACCCGTTCAAATCTTCGGAAAAAATTTATTTATTTTGTGTATTGTGTTGTATTTTATTATCCATACCTGGTGCATGTACACTGCACTGAAGTTCATGTCTGCCGTTGTGTAGTCGGCAATATTGGCAGCCACATTAGCACTACTGATTGGGCTTGACCCAACTGAACACTGTATACTGTTAGACATTAAAGTTGAAGAGTGAACACTGATAAAAAAAAAGAATATTTTGTAATTAAAACAAAAATATAAGCGCCCTCTATCATTGGCATTTAGTCAGATAAAAACAACAGCATTTCTTAATTTGACCTGTGGTGGTGCTAAACTCATTCTAACCAGGTAATTTAACCAAAATCACCATGATTCCCCTTTCTGTCTTAAAAACCAGTGTGAAATTTCAACTACTATGAAATTACATCAGGAGTATCCAATATTCTATCCCACAATACATTGCATGCATTATGCACGTACAGCGTATAGGAAACAAAACTCGTAGTTACAGTGTTCAACATATTTTTATCATGAGCTGTAGACATATGTCAATACTACTAAGAAATGGTCTAAATACAATACAGCAATATTGACATAAGAATTGTAACAATTGTTTCTGATTAAATAAGTAAACTGTATGCTTGTTCATAGTTGGTTTATGATTCACATACTCACATAGTCACGTGCACAAACAAATAAGTAAAATCAATTAAACTTCTTTTTGGTTTTGAGGTCAGTCAAACATGATTTACCATGCCATACTAAGTACTTATTGTGCGAATGATTTCAGTGATTACTGGACACTAAGGTATGAACAAGACAGCAGATTGTATGATATATTCATAAACAAATGTAAACAGCAAGTTGCCTATTTTTTTTATTATTTTGACGACCATTTATACTTCTGAGTCAGCAAAACTTAGTAATTGGCTAAAAGTACAGATTCATCAGATTGCTCCTAAAACTTCTGTACACGGATAAGATTTGGATTTTAAAACACAACTCACCTTCCAAGTAATCCATTTCCACTGGATTTTAACGGTCCCTCTGTTTTATTAAGTGCTCCTCTGACAGGTCCAGTGCTGGTAGTATTGGTTAATGCTGGTGACATAGAAGTGGCGGGTCCATAGCCAGGTAAGTATGTAGGTCCACACAAGAGACTTTGTTGTAACACTATACTGTTTAAAAGAGTGTTATACTGAAACACAAAGGAGTAATTAATAAATTAGTACAAACTTGTTCAACAACCCTCTTCTTGTTTATGTACTTGTCTCCAGAGTATGGATACTTTACAGTCTGTCTTACAATATGGCTGCCTCACAATCTATCTTACAATATGGCTGCCTTACAATATGGCTGCCTCACAATATGGCTGCCTCACAATCTATCTTACAATATGGCTGCCTCACAATATGGCTTCCTCACAGTCTGGCTTACAATATGGCTGCCTCACAATCTTACGATATGGCTGCCTCACAATGTGGTTGCCTCACAATCTATCTTACAATATGGTTGGCTTACAATATGACTGTCTAACAATATGGCTTCCTCACAGTCTGTCTTACAATATGGCTGCCTCACAATATGGCTTCCTCACAGTCTGGCTTACAATATGGCTGCCTCACAATCTATCTTACAATAT